AGGAAGGAAGGAAGGAAGGAAGGAAGGAAGGAAGGAAGGAAGGAAGGAAGGAAGGAAGGTGCAATTGGAGAATCCTGTTCAGTGTTCTTGAAGAATAAAATCGTAGACATGGGCACAATTGTTGACCTAACAACAGGAAAAAGGAATGGGAATGACCATGCTGAGAAGCAACATGTCTACTTAATTTCTCTTACTGGGAACATTCAGTTCTCCTTTTTTGCTACAAAGCTTCCATGGACCTACAGAAGAAGGACTTACAACCTGTTCTCATCTTGCTTTCATTATTGAAAGCATCGGACCTACTGCATGATGGTCCCAGCAGAGAAATAGAAAGGATTCGAGTCAGAGGTTGATTCCTACCAGTTCCGCCCGGTTCTGCCAAACCGGTACTGGTATGGCAGCCTGGGTCACTAGAACCGGCAGCGACCCAGGCCTGCCACTCCCCCGAACCAGTTCCCCAGTTGCTGCCCTTGCTATCTTGTTTTTAATTGAACTGTGCATGCCCACACTGCACACGTAAAAGCAAACCGGCAGTAAAACTGGCCAGAACCCACCCTTGATCCGAGTTATATTCAAATGATATAATATGGGAAAGGGGAGGGGACTAAAGGCATCCCTGTCTGCAGACTTCTGGGAGAGAAGGCATGGGGACCAATGAGCAGAGAAACCATCCCTAAGAGAAAAGGGCAGCTTCCAGTAGACTGGTCCACCCTGGACCATGGATGGGAAGCGCAAGGAGTAGAGGAACAACCAATCAAATCTCACTGTGGCTGTAATCCAGACAGAGCATCAACCAGATTTCCTGCCATCTCCCTGAAATCCAGAGTGGACTTTCTGAAGTTGGCTTAAGAAATAGCTGGAAGCCCCATGGACAGAGGTCGGCAACCTTAAAGACTCAAAGAGCCACAAAGATCCTCACCCAAAGTCCCCCATTCAATTCTGAAGCTGACCAGAAGTCCAGTTCTCCCACCACACAGTCTCTTCCTAGCATGTCGTCCTTTTCCCCCTATCTGTCCTAATCAAAAGCCCTATCGATTGTGTGGCCGATGGGCAACAGGGAGCCGCAGCAGAGGGATGAAAGAGCCACATGCAGCTCCAGAGCCGCAGATTGCCGATCCCTGCCCGAGGAAGACAAGCAGCTTTGGGCGCAGCTCAGAGTTAGTCTTAGGGGCCTTCCAAATGCCACTCTTCCTGGAGAACCCTTTGAAGGGTGTGCCCAGACAAGCTCCATTTTTTGGCATTTCTGTTGTGGGAACACACACACATTTCAGAGAACTGGGTGGGGACAGAAACCACGCCGAATGGTAAAAAAAGACAGCTTGGAATCCAGGGGAGTGCTTGCGAGCTGAAAAGGAACTTCTTTTTCCTGCTGACGTGTTTGTCAGCGCCGCTTTTGGGGTAACTAAGATGTCACGTAAAGCCCAGAAGATGCCGTTGTGATAAGGAAGCAGGCTGACACAAATGTACAAGAGAAGAAGAACAACAGAGTTGGAAGGGACCTTGGGGGTCTTTTGAGTCCAACCCCTTGCTCAAGCAAAAGCGCTCAGCGACTCCATTAAAAAATAATAATTAATTCTTTCATTGTAGAATGTTGCTATCAATGACTCCAGAAATGGAATGAGATAGGACTCACATTAACCTGTACTTTAACACACATTAGGACAGCAGCCCCCAATTTGGGGGGCACCAGAACCGGTTCTGTGGAAAGAGGTTTTTCGATGGACCAGAGGGGGCATGGTTTCATGTGCTGCATGTGTTTTTTGACCTCGGCTTCCTCAAAAAGCAGGAGGCAGAGTCCTGGTCCCTTCAAAACCCCTTTTATTAAACGAAGGTGAATTCCTCTCATTCCCATTCAGCAAAGGCCTGGCAAACAGTCTTTCAAAGGAATATTTAGGACCACAGACCTTATCTATCTTTTGCCATGTAAATATTTTCCAAATGAGGTGCTGTGCAAGGAAAGACTGGGCACAGAGTCCCTGAGATTCACGGACAGATCTTCACACTCCTGAAATGAATCTAACGAACAAACGAATTNTCCCTGAGGTGACATGCAGTATGAAGGCAGCTCTGAAACTTTAGAAGCGCGACAGGCACGATAGGCTGCCCCAAATCCCACGTCACGCCTGAGGCTGCAGCCTACGAAGTCTTTCCCCGCAGGAGGGCGGCTGTGTGACACACTCACCTGTGGCTTCCACGATGCCTTCCAGGATGATGATGATCTCAAACTGCTCCCTCTTCAGCGCCTCTGCAGACATCTCCCAGAACGGGCTGACGTCGTTGATGATGTGGCAGATGATCTGGGGCTCCACCAGGAAGAGACGGTCCTCCCCCGTGCCGTAGCCCAGGTTCAGTTCGGATTGGTCGAGCGGGATGAACTCCCCTTCCTTGGTTTGCCTGGATTTTATGAGCTTGGCCCTTATCTTTGCGTCCACCATGTGGCTGTCCCGAAGGTCTCCGATGCGGAACATGAGACAGAGCTTCCCATCCCGGCTGGAGATCACGCACTTCTTGCTGAAGATTAAGGTCTGGGCGCGCTTCTTGGGCCTGGAGATCTTGACAAACATGCAGCCCACCATGAGGGCGTCGATCATGGAGCCGATGATGGACTGGGCCATCAGCAGGAGGACCCCCTCGGAGCAGTTGGCGGTCACAATGCGGGAGCCGTAGCCGATGGTCCGTTGACTTTCCACCGAGAAGAGCAAGGCGGAGATGAAGTTGTCGATGTTCTCAATGCAGGACTTCCACTCGAGGTCCCCGATGTGGTTGATGTCGTCCCGTATCCAGGCGTCCATGTAATACATGACGCCGAAGACCACCCAGGTGACGATGTAGCACATGCTGAACATGAAGAGGAACCAGCGATACTTGAGGTCCACGATGGTGGTGAAAATGTCCGAGAGGAACCTCTTCTTCTCCTGGATGTTGCCGAGGTTGACTTTACACTTCCCGACTTTGGTGACGTAGCGTTGCCTCTGGTCATTGTTGTTCCTCCCGACGAACTGCCGGTCGTCTTCGATGAGTTTGCAGAGCTTGCTCTGCCCTTTCTCCGAGGCGGACATGGAGATGACGCTGCGGGTGAGGGTTTTGCTCCGAGAGGAGTGGATGATGTTGGGCACGCTGAACGCGTGCGGGGGGTACAGCTGAGCGTTGAACTCCCGCAGGAGGGAAGGGGGCAGGGGGTCGGTCCTGGAGGGCCAGCAGTATTTAGGCAATTTGTCTGTGCTGTTGGAGGAAGGAGGCTGGTGCTTGGGAGGCCCAACCGCACCGAAGCTGGCTTGTTCCACCAGGCTGAGTCTCTTCTGCAGGAGGACCGACCTGACGTTGGGGACGTGCGAACTGCAAGGAACGGGGTGGTAGTTGCAGGAGATGGCGCTTCGGTTTGTGCTCATGGTTGTGGCTGGCGGGGGTCTCTTGTCTAACGGTGTCGTTATTTCAGGCT